AATAAAGATGGACATTTTGGTTAGTTTTAAATATTTTGAAGAACTGTTACTTGCATTTATGCATAAAATATTCATTAATTTTATGAATCGGACTATTTTTTCACTTACTATGTATTCCGTGATAACAATAATTTATTTACTATGCAATAAACACTAATATTTGAGAAAAGAAAAAAAAATAAAGTGTCATAATTATACTGTTACTTATCAGAACGAGTAGACTCATTTGGAACATCTTTAAGAATTATCTGTTAAATTTATCGTTGTTTATATGCCCTGCATCGCTTAATGAAATAAGGTATAGTTATAGTTACTGTTTATACTTACAGTATATTACTGGCCAATATTGTAAATAAGTCAGTAAACTGATATAATAAAATAAATATAGTTTAAAGATGTAATTAGAGTAAATAATTAACAACCTTTGCCAACATCATTTCATTTTAATACTGTTTAACTGCTCCAGTTGTGTCTTTGTATAGTTCAGTTATAAGCAATATTAAGTTTTGTGGTATGCCTACTTTTTACAATAATCTATAAAACAAATGTACAGGGGGATATTGAATTCTCTACATTTTTCTATTATTTGTGTTATGTTCAGAAGGTGGTCCCAAGTACCTCTACCTTGGTAAATCCAGTTTGCTCTTGGCATATTTCTCTTTGTAGGAAAGTTTTTGGTCTCTTATATATTATGTGTAGCATTATCTTGCTGGCATGCGAGATAAGGGAGATGGATCTATAATTGTCACATTTATGGAAGCTGCCTTTTTTTATGTATTGTCGTTATTGTAGATTTTGTTCAGATGTCAAGCCATTGCTTGGAATGCCATATTTTGTTACAAAGCAAGGGAAGCAATTTTATTCAGGTTCCTTCTGTGGCTTTAAGCATTTCTTCTGCTGTTTCATATCTGGACCTGGTGAACAAGTTCTCCTTGTTCTCCCTTTGAAGCGACAGGAATATTTATCTGAAGATCCTTGGAGGGAACTTTATGCAACCTTGACATTTCTGCATGATTGGCTTTTTCCTCTATCAGTTGTTCCTTATTATATTCAGTGTATTAGACATATTATATTCAGTCAGAATGTTGTCACAATTGCCCCAATCGCTTGATCTTTTGGTGAAATTAAATCTTTGTGTGGTATCTGTCCTTTAATTTGCAATATTGTTATTCCACCACTACACTTTTCTGTTGGAATTCCTTACTATCTCAAGACAAATGTTTTTGGAGCCCTACATTACAATCTCTTGAAATTATTCTTCAGTCACATCTAAGTCTAGTATATTCTGTACAATCCTTTTAGCCTACATAAACAATATTTCATGTCTCTTGATATGGTTCCCAGTCTGTTAAGAGAATTACAATAAGTTTTCTTGAGAGGCTCATTACCTGTTACTTCTAAACAATAAATTAAATTATTGAAATGATTTTGTTTTACCCATTTTTTTTATTCTTTCATAAAATTCGTAATGAAACATTTTTGTTTAATTTGTTAATAAGCTGACCACTTACCTCTAGATGCGTAATATCTCCGCTAAAGTAAGAAATCTTATTAACCAAGCTACTATTTTTCGACTTATCTATTTCACAACCTGGTAACATGGCTAATTTTGGCAAAAGTTTCTTTGCATCGGCGAATTCTTTCCAGGTAGGAATATCGTGCACTGTTATGTATGATTTATATAATTTGCGTTTTTCCTCCAAGTCCATGGTTAAATATTTACGTTTTTCTCCTTCCCAATTACTCATTTTTCGTGAATTTTTTGAACTTAAACAGTTTTTTACAATATGTACTGAATACAAATTTTTAAGTTTGCCAGCTGATTTTGAACTGAACATTTCTTTAAGTTTAACTTCTTCAGCTAGTATGAGTGGCCTTGGATACAAAGACTGTTCGGCCAGGACAAGCTTCTCTCAATTCTATTACATACGAACTATTTTTTTTTATACAACTGTTCCGTGTTCTGTTAAAATGTAGGAACTCAACTGAACATAATCACGTAAAAATATTTATGCAATTTTAATGTTATGCAAGAGATTATGCAACTGGGCATTCCACTTATTTGATACAAGTCTATAGACGAAAAATTATAACATATTCTATTTTTCATGCTATTTTGATGCAATTTGTTGTCAAAATTAATGTTGCCAATTAAAATCTATAGTTTAGAACACGTTTAGAATAAAACTTAACCTTTTTATGTAGAAGTATAAATGTTATTTGATGTAAACAGATCAGCTATTTAAGCTGTAGCAGTAGCTGTAAAAATTATATACAAAAAATTATAAATATAAATTATACTTTAATGTAAAAAAGCTTTAGACTTAACCTGTAAATGTTTATAAATTGGCGCTGGGTGACGTGACAACAGGCGATATTGTGGGCAAATAGCCTCATTTTAAGGAAATTTTGAGAGGTGTTGTACCCTCAGATTAGTATCAAAAATTTTATATCAATCCAAGGTTACAAGAACACTCGGAACTTCACTCAAAATATGGTGATTTTCTCTCAAGATCGGGACCAAGTAACTCAAATGTCAAATTGGGTGTTGCACTAAACTAGTATATTTATTATCCAACTTTCCATTTCTAAGTGAAGAACCTCTTTCTTCTTCTTAAGTGTCCTATCTGGCCCAAACGTTGGCTACCATCAAGGCAATACGAAATTTATTTATTGTGCTGCGGAATAGTTCGGTTGATATTGCTCCAAACCACTTGCGCAGGTTTCCAAGCCAGAAAATTCTTCTCTTTGCTGGATCTATCTTACCTTCAATCTGTCCCTGGGATATAACCTGGAGTAATCCATATTTTACTTTGATTCGCATAATGTGTGCAAAATATTGTATATAGTTTTCGAGATTTTAGTGTTATCAATAGATCAGGTTTACAATTTATTTCTCTGAGTACTTCTTCGTTAGTAACTTTGTCCATGGAATTTTGAGAATTCATCGGTATATCCACATCTCAAATGCCTGCATTCTTTTCTAAATAGCTTCCGAAATACTCCACTCCTCGACTCCGCGTATAATAGAACAGAGTAAATATAATATGAAATTACGCGTCTCTCAAGTTGTAAGCTTAGATATTTGCTGCATATTAAATTCTTCATTTTTACAAATAGGACTTTAGCTCCTTCGATTTGGCATTTTGTTTCCTGAGAGTGGTCCCATTTACACAGAATCTCTTTCTTTTTGTAAAATTTTGACATCAACTGAAAGCATAAACATGTAAACAAGATAGACTGATCGTTGCCATACCAGCTCGTTCCCCCAGTGCGACAGAGAAAACTGACGCAAAGCAGTCCCTGCATCTCTTTCTAATTTTCCAGATTTATCGACCACGTAACAAACAGGACAAACTATCTAAACGCAAAACAAACAGAAATTAATAGAACAATGAAAAAAGGAAAAAAATCCAATTAAAGGTAACGATACTATTTATTTTTATTTTACAAAATTCACGAGACACTCCATTTTACTATTATAATAAGTATCTAATAATAAACATGATAAGCATAAGTCTATAAGTATTTAAATACATAAAAAAGAAAAAATATAAAAGATATATACTTAAGTTATAAAAAACAAAACATTTAAGTAGATACCAAACCAACTATATTCGATTCAAAAATGTCAGGTAAATCTTTATTGATGTTAATGAACTATAATTTTGTCAGTTCAAACTATATGTTTATCGACACGGAATTAATAAAAATCATTACGTCTTAATTTCTTAACCCAGTCAGTCTCATAAAAGAAAGGGCAAATAATTAATACATACTCCAGAAGAAACTCATTAAGAAAAAATAGAGAGTTCAGATGTATATATTTATGTAGAAACAAACACATTTTCTTTTATGCACACAGATCCAGTATGTTCATTTCCCATAAACTATATGCTCTGATAAAGTGGCGGCCTTTGCTGTAGAGTATTTAATATGAATTTTATGTTAATATTGTTTATATTCTCAAACGTAAAGTGTTACGTTTATCCAACTCAAAATAAGCCATAGAGTGATTTGAATATTCCAATCTACATACTCCGTCAAATGAAGATGTGTTCTCTTAGTCTCCCTTATGGTATACAGACGGTCCTACAACAGATGAATGAGTTAAATCTGGAGTATACGGAGGGAAACCAACGCTAAGCCTTAGTGAAAGCCTAGGTAATCATTCAACTATCTATATACAGGGCAGATCTATAAAAATTATATCAAATAGTCAGGCAGCATTAAAGGCACTGGAATCGAGACAGATTGACTCCAAGTTAGTTTGGCACTGCCTGCATATGATTCGGATAGGACAAAGTAACAAAATAAGTTTACTCTGGGTTCCTGGACATACTGGTATTGACAGGAGCCAAAAAGCGAAACTACTTGCCAGTGGAGGAGCAAAATAATTATTCATAGGCACAGAACCTTTCGTTGACATAGCAAGAAGCATAGCCAAAAGAATATCAGACTAGGTGAAACGGATATAACGTAACCACTGGTAGAAACAAATGGGTTTTAATTATTCGAAGCATTCTACACATGAACTTTCTAACAAGATATCCAAAGATCTACTAGCTATGAATAGGAATGGTCTGAGAATAATCATAGGTCTCCTAATGGGACATTGTCGCCTCAATGGGCACATGAATAAAATCAGACTATCAGAAAATACGAATTGCAGATTTTGTCAGGTTGAAGAAAAGACAGCGGAACACTTTCTCTGCACGTGCCCAGAGTTGGATAGGATAAGGCTAAATACATTTGAGCACTATCAATTCGAGCCCTACAACTTCATAGAACTGGCACCAAAGCATCGAGCAAAAAGACAAAAGAGGGAATGTAAAGGTAGTGGAGGCAAAAATATTGTTAGACAGGAAGTGCCATCTTGAGAGGTCAAATTAAACAAGGAAAGAGAGTCTTTCCTTGTTTAAGAAATCAAATTTAGTTGGATTATGTTATTATTTGTCCCAACTGTCAAATGAAATCTTATTTATATTGTTTTTTTAAGTTTTTTAACAATTGTTTCACATTTTAGACTATTATTGTTAATGTTTAATTAAAACTGTCTCGTCTAAGACACATTCTGAAAACTATTTTATAGCTACTATTAATAAGTGTCGGAAAATTTAAATTTGGCGCATTCGCATTTCCGGATATGTCCGCCATTAGAGGCCACTTTTTTGGTCTCCTTTTCATAACGATTAGATTCCCTCTTTTGTCTTTTTGCTCGATGCACCAAAGGCTATAATAGATGTTGTTACAAAGGCTGGGCTGAAAGAACAAGTGTAACACAGGGATGAGTCACACTAGATCTCATAGGTCAGGTGGAAGGGTGGTTAAGAATCCTTTCAACTAAACTTAACCTAACCTAGCCTCAATTAACTACTTAACATTTAAACAGACTGCTTCCGGCGTCTGTTTCATTGTTTTCCAGGATACTAGGAAGAGTTTCGGAATTCTTTTCTCATGACGTTTTATCTACGACTGCGGCATAATTATCAAAGAATATATGGTAATGGTCATAGTTGACTTCTTTTTCAACTGAGAGGAAAACAACTCCAACTATTGTGTCGTCTTTGATAATGTATGTCGCAATTGCAAACGAAAAGCAAAAAAAGAAATAATTCCAGACCGCGTCTTATAAACTCAGAATATAATGTATCTTTATAACTCATGGAATAATCATATATGGCAAACTATTAGTTGCATTAAATTTTTATTCTCCTAAAGTTTATTTGATATTTTATTTCAAAAATCTACTAACTCTTCTGCTGTAAACTTTGGCGTTATTACAGTTTAACCATAAGTTAAAGAAGAATTGGCCCACTGGACTACTTCGGTTGGTACTTCAGGATTTTTCTTAATTGCTTCACTAATCTGTGTAGGCATCACGAGCAATTCAAAGAATCTATATTCCTTTTGGGTTTTAGATCCACCTCCACTTATCATTGAAATCAATTCTAAACTCTGAAATAATGTAATAAAATAATAGTTATTAATATGTTGGCTGTTACATACTATTAGAAATTATTTGAAATATACACAGATATCAGGTCCAAAGAAAAAAAAAGTACTTCATTTTTAGTCTTAGGTCAGAATTTATTCGATTACAATCAATACTACAAATAGTGCTGTAGCTAAAGTTAATAATGAAGTGTTGATTTAATCATCATCGGTATTCAATCAATTATTTCACGATATTATATTGAGCTATTTCGTGAAGAGCCAAATCGAATTTGTATTTATTAGTACTAGAAAGTGAAAATGGATTTTGCCCCTTCTGCGATAATCAAAACATCGCAACTTAATCAGCCAGTGTTTTGTAACCAACTATGATTCCACAAGGAAATTCCAGTTTTCACCAGCAGCCTACGTTTCACAGTATCAACAGTACAACGCTCGACAATTACAAGATAATCAATATTCAATCAAGGTCCAATATTTTCAATTTCTAACCACAGCACATTTTCAATCCCAATATTTTGGCACCACTCCTACCAATCAAAACTACAACCAATCAATACAAAAGACAACGAATCAGTCCAGAGGTCTATCTATTTCTGTTTGAGATCTTAAACTGCGAATCAAAAAATGATGATGAAATAAATAATAATAAACAATGATGAAGACAAAGTTGAGTTACACAATATACTGAAACTACCTCTCGTATTTATATAAGAAGTAAAAATATAAATCCACCGATCGAGCTCCTAAATCAAAAAGCAAAAAATTAATTACGAACTGAAAGTCGTAAGTTTTGATCAAGTAAAATTCCAGCCCAAGACGACTGATACCTAGACAATAATAACGACTTTGGTGGAGAAAAAAACGAGTTTCATACTTATCAAGTAAAAAATGAACGTCGTTTTGGAGTCGTACTTAAAAAATCTGCATTACCGATCTTGGTCTTAGTATTAATAACCTTTGGAATATTAAAAAAAATTAAAACCAAAGCACCGTTTCTCATATTTGGTAGCCCATCTAAACTCTACTAAAAATAACAAAGAAATAAGAGTATTTGTTGAACCATCAAATTCACATTGAACCGGTACACCAAAAAAGACAAATACCAAAATAAATTTTAATCAAATAAAAAGCAGATATCGAGCACAGTTTATTTATCTTACCCAAGTACTTTCGCTCCTAGAGCATCTTCAGGGGCATCTGTAATAAGTAAGAAACGTTTTTTCAACTGAAGAACAATTAATTAACTTCGAAAAAACTCGAAGTTGATAGTTGATAAAAATTTTTATGTGATATAACGTTTTAGACTTACTTCGTCAAATTTGAGTTATCCAACAATATATGGAGAATGTCATGTACATTAAATGATACATTAATATAACACAACACAAGGACAAACAGTTTAGGAAATAATTAAAAATCGACGAAGCTATATATTGGGTGGCATCAGGAGAGAGAATGACTCCTGGTCCTAACGGAAATGTTAAAGTGACATCTAACATATGACAACTTGGATGGGCAGTCACAAGCATGGTGATGTGATCTGCACATTTCAAATTCCATGAAACTGAGCATTGACCAAAGGTCCAACTGACACTACTATAGGAAATCAACTGATGAAATATGAAATTATATAGATTACTTCGTCTCTTCGTTGTAACCATTGTTAACAAAAATAGCTCACTTGAGAAAGCCACTCTACCGAAAAAGCTGTAGTGACAATAAATTATAATAAAATTTGTAGAAGTATTGAAAACAAAAGTTTTCACTATTTTATTGCTTGATAAAATTAACTTCCATCAAGTAACGGTCGAATCCATCACATACACTAAAGATACTGATAATTCGGTGGGACGGACAACAAAGCACAATAAATTCTACGCTCATCCAAAATATATAAAGAATAAAAAAAAATTGAATAAAAACCTTTCAAAGCATTGGCATTGGATTCTTCTTCTTCTTCAAGTGCCGTCTTCATTCCGAAGTTTGGCTATCATCAAAGCTATGCGTATTTTTGATGCTGCAGATCTAAACAGTTGGTAATTGGTGCAATTGTACCATTCTCTCAAGTTTTTCAACCATGAATGCCTTCTTCTTCCTATAGATCTCTTTCCCATTATCTTTCCCTGTATAATCAATTGCAGCAACTGGTATTTATCTCCCCTCATAACATGTCCCAAATATTGTAGTTTGCGCTTTTTAACAGTAAGTATCAGCTCTTTCTCTTTCCGCACTCTCCGCAAAACCTCCACATTTGTTATTGGAGGCATTGGATTAGATGGTGTTAATTTCGAACTAAAGGAACTGTTAATTAACCTTTCGAACTAAAGGAACATCATAAAAACAAAACAAAACCTAACTCGTGATGATGATTTTAGAAAACGACGAGAACAATCAATAATTTCTCATAATAAAAACAAATGTATATAAACATAACTAAGATTTTTTAGATAAACATGACAAATCGATCTGCTTATCAGAAACGATGTACTGATCGTATATCTCAACATAATGAAAACGTTGCATTTCTTGAACTTTCTTCAGCATTCTTGAAAATATTGCTGAAGGGACTACTACAGCAAAAAAACAAAAACCGAAATAGGTGTAAAGAACAGTTCTATTTATTTATAAATAAAATATACTAAACCTAAAAATCATAATTCTTAACTCTCAACTCAAACATTGCCGTAACACCCAGTAGAAATCATATACCTCGATTGGATTCAGTACTGAAACAATTTAACATTCAAAATCCACAAGGAAAACAATTCCTGTAGCTGGCTGTATACCACGTATCACAAAAAAAGAGGTTAGTCTTCGTAAGTGGGTATATTTATTTAAAAACCCTTTAAAAGGGCTACATCAAAAAAACAAACGTTTTCGGACTAAACAGTCCATCATCAGGTTTAAAATCGTTAGGTTAAAATGCCTGAGCCACCAAAAATACATGGGTAAAAACCCTTTAAATTAAAAGATTATACATCTTGTTGTTAAAAAGCTGTGATGTTCAGTATTAAATTAAATATGACTTCAGGTAACATACATTGTAAAAATTGAGTTCCAGAGCCGGGGAGAAAACCTCTACGCACGGAGAACAGCTGGAAACTCTTTTAACAATAACTTAATAGGCCTTTCGCTTTCACATTCGTTCAATTCTCAAATATTTAAACAGTCAAATCCTCAAATTTTCAATAATTTATTCAATATATCTGTGCTTGAACCATTAGAGTACATCCATACCTATAACTATACTTGTCTATTTTGGAGTAGCATAATTTGCATTACAAACGTTACTTGAGATCCAACGAACGACAAAATACCATAAAAATAAATGTACGAATTAAGCAGGACTGCAAACTTAGTAAAAACTAAAAATTAACTATCTAAGAAACAAGTCAATCGGATTCCGAGGCTATACATTGTTTCTTTGAGCAGTATTAGTTTTTACGATTGGTAGGCTGCTAACTTTGCCAATCACCCTCCACTTTTGGTGGTAACCGCAGAGCTACTCAATCCACCCCGCAATCACCCCAGGCAGTAGTAGAAGAAGAACTAACCAACCCTATTGAAGTTGGCAATGTGATAAGACAGGGAGATTTCCCGAGTCCTCTATTGTTCAGCCTGATTATGGATGAAATAATTAAAAAAAATAAGAACTAAAAATGATACCAAATGGAAGAAAAACAACTTAAAATAATCTGCTATGCAGACGACGCAATACTACTCTCTCAAAGTAAAGATGATTTACAACGTATGCTGCACCAATTTAATATAACCGCCAGAAAATTTAACATGTTAATTTCCCCAAAAAAGACAAAATGCATGGTTATAACAGCAAATTTACTAAGATGTAAATTGGAGCTGGAAGGTCAGATAATAGAACAAGTGATGGAGTTTCAATATCTAGGCATCACATTATCTAGCTACGGAAAGCTCGAAACTGAAGTGGATATTAAGTGGATAGAGCAAACAGAGACGAAGGTTGTCTGAATGAAACAATATGGAGAAATAAAAATATCGGAAAGAAATGACAGGCAGAATTTACAAAACAGTCATCAGACCAATAATGACATACGCGGCAGAAACAAGACCTGACACAGAGAGGACAAAAAGGATGTTAGAAACAGCAGAGATAAAAACACTTAGAAAAATTGATGGAAAGTCACTATGGGACAGAGCTAAAAGTACAGATATAAGACATATATACTTCATCTAATTTACTTACCGATGCACGTCATTATCATTGACAGAGATCGAAGTTGACATAGTTGCCAAAGTATAAAAAATCTGATCCATTTAATCAAATAGGTCACATAATTATTGCAAAAGTATTACCATCTCTTTACAACGACTATTTAAATTCTTACATTTTTGAAATAAAACACACTAATTTTGTTCTAAAAAGCACAGATTTTATTAAATAGGTAAAAATATAAAACAAGAGGTATTCACTTTAAAATTCAAAATAATAAAGTACAAAAAGTGTCAACACCGCAACTGTCAAATAAGTGTTACCAATTTATGCCAAAATTTCACCTTCGTTCGATTACAGTTACAGTGTGTTCCGAACAAATGTTCTTCATAAAAACGCTTTATAATGCATTTATACAATTAAATGAAACATATTATTGTGTATTTCTTTAAGTTAACATTAATAGAAATCTTTAAATATTATTTCTACGCGTATATAATAAAATATGTCTAGTGGCTGTAATGCCAGTGTACTCGGCAAAGTGATTCTAAAAAAGAACACACCTACCGCCTAAATATTTCGTGTTGGTATCATGTGACGTCACGGGCTATGACGCCGATGACGTGCATCGGTATGTAAATTAGATGAAGTATATGTAAGGTGGAGAACATCAAGAACTGGGTAAGAAATAGAAGAGTAGAATGGAACGACATAAAAGCCAAATAGAACGAACAAATAGAGTAGTAAAGAAGACACAACACGGCACGACGGTTCCCCAATAGAAAGACGATCAGTAGGAAGACCACGAAAACGACAGAACGACAACTTACTGGAGGCACATTGAAAAACAGACAGTCATGTATACATAAAAGATTAGATTAGATTATGTGAGGTCGTTAAGGCCATGCGGCCTCACCGCACTTCGACCTATACAGATCTTTTGTGCATACCTTAATCTAGTTAAACTCTAGAATGCCAATACTTCTGATGAAGTTGATTAGCTTCCTAGGTGACTTGTTTCCTATGTCAGAGGACGCCAGACTGACCTCTCCTAGGAATTTTAGTCTTTTGCAGAACAGTGCTACGCAGTTGCATAGTATATGTTCTGCCGTTTCTTTTTCATTGTGACAGAAACGACAGTTCTCACTATCTGATTTGCCCATCTTCTTGAGATGATATCTCAGAGGGCAGTGACCAGTGAGAAGGCCAGTGACCATTTTGATATCTTTCTTACTCATTTCGAGAAGGCGGTTTGTTGCAGTAGGCGACACTTTTATGAGCCTTTTTGCTTGCCTTTGTCCTGGTGTGTTAGACCAATATGATCTTAGTTGATTGAGTTCCCAGGTACGGAGTTCCTCTCTGATGTGGCTTTTCGATAGTCCACAGAAGGGTTCCGGACCCTGGAATGGGGTATTAGCTCCTTCTTTTGCGAGGCTGTCAGCTTCCTCATTTCCTGCAATTCCCTTGTGACCTGGCACCCACATCACAGTTACACTGTTGCGTTCCGCCAGCTTCTTGAGAGATTGTTTACAGTCCCAAACCAACTTTGACTCACATGTAAATGACTTTAGAGCCTTTAAGGCGGCTTGGCTGTCTGATAAAATAAAGACTTTTGCCCTACGGGTGTCTCGGTTGAGACATTCTTGGGCACTTATGTCTATAGCATGTATTTCTGCCTGGAAGATAGTTGGGGCGTTTCCAAGAGATTTAGATAGCCTGAAATTGGGCCCAGTAACTCCCACTCCTGCCCTTTCATCTATCTTAGATCCATCCGTATACCATACGAGTGAACCTTCTTCCATTTTTGGCTCAATTTCTTCACCCATTTGGTGGTTTTTTATGACCACTTCAAAGGGTGTTTCAAAGTCGAATTTGACTGGCATAGCATCTGTCGGCATGTCCTTAGAATCCAATGGAATTTCTTCCAAGATTTTCAGGTGGCCAACTAGATCTCCAGGTTTCATTATTTGTGTCTGTCGCAGTTTTAAGGCGGTAGTTACTGCCTCCCTCCTTATGCAGAACTGCAAGGGAGGAAGGTTCAGCATCGCCTCTAGAGCTGCAGTGGGGCATGTTGACATTGCCCCTGTGATTCCCAGACAAGCTAGCCGCTGCACTTTTTGCAGCTTGGCGTTAGCTGTTGTTTGTTGTGTTTTTGGCCACCATACGAATGATGCGTATGTGACCATGGGCCTAATTATTGTTTTATATGACCAGAGAGTCATTTTCGGTTGTAGGCCCCAAGTCTTTCCAAACGTCTTGCGGCAGGTCCAACTTGCCACCAAAGCTCTGGATAAAATTTTTTCAATATGACTATTCCAGGTGAGTTTTTGATCTAGGGTTACCCCCAGATATTTAACTTCCTTGGAATAGTCTAATGTGATGCCATTCATAGTTGGAGCCTGTAAATTGTATTTACGTCTCCTTGTGAAAGGTATCAAAGTCGTTTTGCTGGGGTTGACACTTAAGCCCTCTTTCGAGCACCAACTTTTAATTTCGTTAAGAGCAGTTTGCATGAGACTAGATATAGTCTGGTCATGCTTGCCCCTAATTGAAACAACTAGGTCATCTGCGTAACCTTGGGTTATAAAACCAGAATCATGCAGCTTAGTGAGGAGGTCATCCACAACCAAAGACCACAGTAGAGGCGATAATACTCCCCTTGAGGGCACCCCTTTACCGCTGTCACAGTCACAGATTCTCCTCCAATACTAACAGTGATGATTCTCGTTTTTAGCATTGACTGAATCCATTGTATTAGTGAGACTTCAATGCTTCTCTTTACTGTATGCTTTTTTTGTATGTATACTTTTATGTATACATAAAAAGAAGAAGAAACAAATCTTCCATTGAAGAAACTCAGAACTTCGATACACGGAAATAAACTTGACGTTCGGAACAAAAACTCATATACTCAAAAAGATAATATAACTGTGGAGAACTCAGTATGCAACATTTTCAATGGGGAAGACAAACAAGAATGATGCCCACATCGTGACAAAATCAAGGTTTAGTTTAATAACCAAATAAGGGAGCCAGTTGCCAGCATAAACAACGACGTCAAACAAAACAAGGAAACGGTAAATTCTTTGATATTTCGTTTGACTTTATGGTCAACGATAACGTCTAAAATAAACCTAACGAACAACTACAACAGCTACTTGTAGATTTAATAGTACACGATGTACAGGTGACAGGCTTTCAATTTGAAGAATTAAGACAGCATTGTCAAATCCAGAATATGAAATTGAAAATGGTCACTAACAAAGTTGGGAATTTCGAAGAAAATTTCACTTAGGCTTATTGTGGAGTCTGGTAATTGATGAGTTGATAGACTCAGCAATAACAGACGTCATGTCCTGGACTATGCGGATGTCCTGGTCATGTTATTCCATAAGAAATTTAAGTCAAATATGAAATGCAACAGGCTCTGATTGTCCAAAATCATGAAATTTACCACAAGGAGGAATTTAGAGGAATTAGATCCTCTACATCTATATGGTACAAATCTAAATCTGATGAGTGTTGTAAAGTACCTTGGGTTAATATTACACTGGAGGCTAATATTGCGAGAAAACCTGGACAACATAATTATTAGATCTGACCTCTGACCACTCATCAAGAACTAATGTAATTGACCTTCTGCGCGTTCTAGACATTTTTCTTTAACACCACATTTCAAACATAGTTCACAAAACATATAGTTTTGTGTATATTCATTTCAAATCTTTAAAATAGAAGCAGCAACCGTTTACGGTTATAAGAAACGGTGCCTAAGGAAACATCAAAAACAGCATATAATAAGTTAGTTGAGACGTTACCATGACTGCGCAATTTGAAAATCTAGTTTGATTATACAACCAGTTAACTGTAAAAAGAGCCAGTAGATACGGTGAAAATATTTAGGTCGATCTAATATGATTTACATTTTTAACACAAGACAACACAGACAATAATAATTCTAAGGAGACAACTCACCTGTATATGTTCAAATGCTTTCATGATTACAGATCTTGGAAAATTTTGAATATTGGAGTTACACTTGACAAACTTGTTATATCTAGATAGAATCATCTCGAAATTCATAGCTTTTCCTTGATATATTTCAGCATGATGTTTCATAGCTATTAAAAGGCACAATTCTAGAATGCTCAGATCTTGTAAAATAAGTACTGTTTCATCTATTTCCAGTGCATTTATTTCTTCTTGAAAATCATTTATTGTAAGTGGTCCCTTTATATTAAATATGATTTTAATCTAAAAATAAAACAGTCCATAAAACATATACATAGATAAAACAAAGGAGAAGTAATAAGGAATCTAACAAAACAAGATAGATAGATAGATAGGTAGATAGATAGAATTTATTCATCCACAAAGTTTACACAATTCTTACAAAAAAATGTATAAATCTTATCGGACTAGTCAAAATTTTAGTACAAAAGAGTACAATATATAGTAAAAGTACACATGATTAATATAAAATAGTAACTACAATAAAACAAATAAGAAATAAAAGTTACAAATACAAATTTAGAACTATTTTGCAAAAATGTTAAAAATTTAAAAATCCATCATCACTGTAGAATGTATTGTCCATTAAAAATGAATACACAGTTTGGCGAAAACTTTTATGTGAAGAATTACTGAGAGTTAATATATTGACTATTTTATTGTAACATTTTATTCCAATATATTCAGGTGCATGTTGGGATACACCTAATCTAGAGAAAGGTTGTCGAAAATTTGATTTACCTCTAGTATCATGTGAGTGAATGTCCTCATTTCTGTCAAACTTGAGCTTGTTTTCCTCAATGTGCAATATTAATTGGAAAATTAAAAGGCTAGGTAGTGTTAAAATATTAGACTTCTTAAATAAGAGCTTGCAACTATCTGAAAGTGGAACACCATACATACTTCTTAAAACTTTCTTTTGAGCTATAAATGCCCGTTCAAAATGAGATGAGCAACCCCAAAATATTAAGCCATACTCCAGTACCGACTGGACTAAACTAAAGTAAATCATTCGCAAGATATCAAATGAGACAGTTTCTCTTAAATTACGCATTATATAGCTACATGTACTTAACTTTGCTGATACATGATTTACGTGAGTTTCCCATGTAAGTTTATGATCTAGGGTTACCCCAAAAATTTCGTTGTAGTATAACTTTCTACTGATTTGCCATCCACATGTAAATAAAAGTCAGAATTTGGAGTTACGTTTTTTGGTAAGAAACGCATAAAATGTGTTTGTGTTACGTTGAGCTTGAGTCCATTATTTTTACAATATGTGCTAAATTCAGCAGACGCAACATTGGTATTTTCCACCAGTTGTATGGGTTCACTGTGAGACATGAGAATATTGGTATCATCAGCATACTGAACAATTTTATCTGGCATTGAACAAAATGTGTTTAGGTCACTTACAAATATAATGAAAAATAAAGGCCCCAGTATTGAGTCTTGAGGTACACCCATCGTACATTGAAGTGGCCTCGACGTTACATTTTCCACTGTGACTACTTGAGTTCTATTACTTAGATAAGATATGGCCCAATTGTACGGTATACCACGCACTCCAATACCCTGCAATTTTTGTAATAAGAGTTCACGATCAACCGTATCAAATGCACGACTAAGGTCATAAAAAAGACCCAACACATTTAATTTATCATTTAATGCTTTATAAATAAATTGAAGACAGTCAGAAATAGCAGTATTTGTAGATTTCTTTTTTTTAAACCCGTTTTGAATAACAAGAAGAATTTTAAAATGTTCTAAATAATCTGTTAATCTATTTGCATAGGCTGCTTCAAATATTTTAGAGAACTGACTTGACACACAAATCAGCCTATAGTTTGCAATATCCGTTGCAGATCCTTTATTTTTAAAAATAGGGATTCCTTTATATCTGGAAATATTCCGCATGTAAATGATTCATTTATGAGATAAGATAGTTCTAAAGCTATATAAGTGGCAACATGTTTCAGAGCTTTTCCATCAATTTCGTCTACCCCTGCAGCTGTTTTAGAAGCAGTTTTTAATACAATAGATATAACTTCTTTTTCAGTGGTTGGTGATAAAAAGAAACTTGAATTGAATTGGTCAATTTGTATGGTACGGTTAACAACTGATAGTTCATTATTTTTTACAGCATAAATAAAATAATTGTTGATTTGATCAGCTTTATGATAATTTTGTAAGTCACCGTTGTTACTAAAAGATATTAAATTTTGATTTGATTGACAGTTTTTACCTCTATTTTTATTAATTATTTTCCAACTTTCCTTCATTACATTATTGCTATTTCTAAATTAATTATCATAGTGTCCCTTTTTATGTTTTTTAACAATTTTTTGATATTCTTGTTTAAATTTCTTGTATCGTTCCGAATACCGTGGATTATTGAGTTGTTTTCGTAATCCATTCATCTAACACAATTGATGATGCAAACCTTAATATGAGGTGCAAACCACGTTTTTTGTTTTGGTCTGGTAGTTACTCTACGTTTTAAGAAAGTAGTATTATAATAATATAAGAAAGTATCATAAAATATTGAAAATTTTTCTTCAAAACTACTAGCCACATATAGATCACTCCAATCAATATTAGCTAAAATATTTTGAAAAGTTATTAATTTGGCATCGCATAAATTTCTGGTAAAAACAGTTTGAGGATTTTTTCCAGTAACTTTCATATCAAAAGCACATAATTGATAAGTATGATCTGAAAGAAATGTGTCACATACACTCACCTTTTGAACATCTAAATTGGAAAAAAAGTCAATACACGTTGAAGAATTTTTAGTAATTCTAGTAGGTACATTTATGTGAAATTTAATGTTGTATTCTAAAAATAAGTTTATTAAAATATTTTTCTGATTGCTATTTTCTAAAAAATTGATATTAAAATCTTCACATATAACGTAAAAATCATTATTATTATAAATACTCTGCAACAATAGTTCTAACTTCGTAATAAAAGTATAAAAACTCATACTATAAGGAGGTCTGTATATAGTTACGATAAATAAATATTTTTTACTTCCATGAACTTTAAATTTTACTCCACATATTTCAACTTTGCTTTCAATACACCATTGACGTAAATTTAGCTGTTCACAACTAAACTTATTATTTACAAATATGCATACACCTCCTATTTCTTTATCATTTCTTGCGAAATAAGACACTAAATTAAAGTTTTCAATATTGGTTACTTTAAGTTTATCTTCTTTCAACCAGTGTTCTCTAAGTGTTGTTTTCCAATAAACCTTGATCTTTTAATATTTTCAAATAATATGGAAATTCTTCATTGCATTTACAAACATGTTAAAATGTGTAAATACAAGATGTAAATAGTATATAGGCATAATCTGTTAATATGGTTTGAAAAAAAAAACAAAAAAAATTATAACACAAATTAAGAAAAAAAAACAAAAGAATTAAGAAAATAGATATAGAACAAAAAACAAAAAAAAAACAACAAAACAAAAAAAGAAAACAAAACAAAAAAAGAAGATAATAAAAGAATAAAAAAAAAGAAACAAAAAAAATATATCAAAATATAATTTATGTATAAATATTAGGTATATGTAGTACTAACATTGATAACTTATAACAAGAAAATTTTGACTATGAATCTGCAATCACTAATAATTAAAATTCAGTCGATTTTAACAATAAAAACAAACAAGTCTGGCTAATTGGCTCTGCCAAAGCCATATTACAGAAAAAAAACCAGTGTTCACTAAGGCATAAAACATTCACATTATTATTTTGAAGTATCAAATTTATATCGTAAGATTTACGTGCCAGTCTTCCCTGTATATTGCAGTGTAAAATAGGGAAATATAAGTTTGTCGGTTTACTTGCATTAATACTTCTACTTCGGATATTTTGATGCACTATGGAAGTTTGGCATTTACTTTTGGTTTGAGAGTCCCTAACGAAGAAATAATTTAAAAATCCGCGGAGCGACGATTATATTGTTGGTATTTCCGGAAATCGAAACGCTTGTAAGTGACAGATCTTAGTACAGATCTCTGTAAGCCAAGTCGACGGTTTATAGATTTCGTCTTTTAATTCGAAGTTGATACCACACATAAAACATTTGTTTTGGTTTTCGTTAGTTGGTAGTTCTCTAATAATAATATCAGCCTCTTTAAACACTGCCTGATCTTTTAGATAATCGAAAATAGTTTCTGTTGTGACACTTCGTTTAACTTTAGAAGGGTAAAGCCAAGCCTTTCTTTGAAAAAAAAAACACAGAAGTTAAAACACTTCACAAATGTGTATTTAGGTATAAAACAAACAAGTTAAAACTTTTTAAAAAAGTGTCGTCACATTTAAAGTTCTGGCAGAACGTTTTCGATCACTACGGATCATCTTCAGTGCCTAGTATTTGTTGCTAACTATATAAATATGGTGTCTATAAGACTTCCATGTTTGAGTTGGTAAAGTGTCACATTTTACATTAGATAATGTTGATACTGTAGGTCGATGACAATGGATGTATTTAAAATTTTACTTTAGGGACTACATGTCTCCTAAGCTCGAGTACTTGCACGTACATATATGTGAACTTCACATTTGTGAAGTGTTTTAACTTCTGTGTTTTTTTAAACGATGGTATACAGCCAATTACGGGGTTTTTCCCATTAATAATTTCCTTTCTTTGAACTCCCATGTCGGTAGTTTTATCATTTTCACCGTAGTTCTTCTTTGTTTGTCTAGTTTTCTTCTTTGAGTGGACTAACGTAAAACCATCATTGTCTTGTCCCATATATTCATTCATATTTACTAAAGTTTGCATTTTATTTAGCTGTGCATTACTAAGTTCTGCACATGTTGAATTATTATCAGGGCTTCTACGACTTTCGGCAACAGTAGGCAGCACCAGTGTTTGGAATTGATTTGTAATTTTATAATTTGGAGTTAATTGTTTGATATGACTAAGGTGTTTTTTGTTTCTCATTTAAAACTGGCTGTTAACAGGTTCAGTTTTTGCTTCCATTTGGCTTATCTTTGCTTGTAGATAACAATTGTTTTGTTTTAAAAGAGAATTATTTTCTAGTAATAAATTAAAATTTTCCTGTTTTTCTTTTATAATATTTTTAAGTAGCTCATTTTCTTTGTATAGATCGGGTTTACCTTGGAAATTCTCCTCAACGTCATTAGATTTCTCGTTTGTTTCACAGCAAATTATTCGTGTGTGACAAATTTTGATGCACTGAAGCTTACTTCTGGTTACAC